AACATTGTCTTCAATAGAGTTATCTGCCTATAGAAACACCATTTGTCTTTGTAAGGCATATGCAATATATAAGCAAAAACTATAAAGTTGATAAGATTAAAATAGTAAATTTAAGGTTTTATTTATAAAGCAAAAGTAAAATTGTGATAATTGTAAAAACAACATTATGTAAATTAGATTAAATTATTAATCTTGAGATTTGGATTGTTACTATATTTTCATGTTGATCTACATCACCATCTAGTGGTTTGTTCACAAACTATCTGAGTGCTTATCATACCAATGCATCCTCTTGTGCTACTTCGTGGGCTAGCAAATTGCCCTTTGGTTTAACTTCGTGGAGCTATAACGATATCGTCTCTACCCCTTCCCTTCCCATGAGGTAGCCAATCAGCACGTGTGTCTGAAGCAATGCCCTAACTACTTATATTATTGAAAACACACCATACTGTCACATTTACAAATCCATTTTCATATATCAGATATTGCATGTAGTCACTGTTCAGCAGCTACAGCGGTTTTCATGACAACCAATGTCACCATCAGTCGTGCTTTTCGTGATCGCCAAAGTGCAAATAAAAGCACCAAATGCTACCTTAAAAAGTTAAGTCTCTAACTTAAACGAGGTCACAAAAATAAAAGTAATCACAGATAAAAATAAACAGAACTGGTCTATTCTGCTGTAAATATGTATCTAGACCACATTTCCTGTCGTCAGTTGCACAGTACAAGCATATATACATAATCCAATTACTAGGCACACATGGGGCAACAGCAAAATTATGTTTTCCATCATAACATATCAATCAGCTCAAATCGGCATGTTTCTTTCATCAGGGAGGTTGGATAAACCTACTATATTAGATAAAAACGAAAAATAACTTACGCAAAAATCTAGCAAAATGATACAAATTTTGCCTAATTTATACAGTCGTTGCTAAATTTTCATGCTTTGATATAGCATAACTCCATACTATCAGACTAAGAGATAAAATCAGTGGCAAAATAAGATAGTATCCGCAAATTATTTTGTCAAAATAATTTCATGTTTCGGCTTATCATAACTGTTTTTACCGATATTATTGGGTGTTATGTTACACTGTTGTAAAATATACTGCTCTTCGGTCTCTACTTTCAAACAGGTGGGGCACACGTACGTAATTTAGGCTCTATTTTTGTTTCCATTTCAATCCAAAGAAAAAATTTTCAAATCAAACTTAAACGAAATATTTTCATATCCCCCCTATTAATTGTAGTAGTTGTTAGTATTACAGTGTGTATATTAAAATATTGTAGCTTCGGTCTGCATAAATTAGTATTGTTGACATGTATCAAATATATATAGGTGAGTGGGTGGGGGAAAGGGCAAACAGTTCTATCTTATCAGTAAGAAATTAAAGTTGCTTTCATCACAGGGCGCAAGCTTGCACAGCGATACAATACAAAGTTGCACTAACTAATGAGCAAGATTGAACATTCACTCAGAAAGTTTTTACATGCAAATGTTCAACAACATATACCACAAACCTGAGTGCTTGGAAAACAAGAATTTCAAAGTTCTTTCAACTTACAAATCAGAATCCCTAGCCATTAGTAGAAGTTTAATCCAACTGCAACTTTTTTTCAGATATTTACTGCCAGTGTCTTCCTCCTCCTTCAGCTGAGACAAGATCATACAACACAGTACTCTCATCATCAGCCGACATTAACTGTGTCTATGTGATGATGTACAACTGTTGTCCAGCCCAACTGGCCATCTAGTTATACGGACACATCATCAAACTCCCTGAGCAATTTACTGAGTTCACGTCTGGATGCTGAGGTCGTATTGTTTGCACAATCCTCAACTAAACTTTAAATGCACTGAAAATTATGCGTTTGTTCTCAGGCACGATGCAGTGGTTGCAACACAAGCTGGTTGGCTAGATTGAGTAGCTTCTGATGATCATTTAATCTGGAAGCGGAATAGCCGAATGCCAATAGTTATAGACTAGCACTGGTACAACACCCATGCTTGGAAAGATCAACGTTTGAGCTTCTACTGACAGAAAACAATATACCAAAAACTACAGCTTATAGATTACGAGAAATTACCTCATTCTTTTCAATGAGCATGTGTGTAGTCCATTGTTCTAGGGCCCAATCTGGCTGGTACTGGTCCTGGATGGTCTTGTTACACAACTGCAATGGTTCATACTATTGTATAAGCTGATCTTCCTTTCCTGAGATGTTTTGGAAGAACTTGTGTGCTCCTGATTTGTGTGGCTTTTCCAGAGGAAGATCTTTCTCAATTATGTTGCAAACTGCTGCCTGGGACGTAACTTGTGCCACTGACCCTTGTGTTTGTAGATTTTTATATGTTACAAGACGTCGCAGTTTGCTTGTCACGGCTGGAGTACGACTTATTGCAAGTCTCTTCTGGAAGGTCCTGCGGTCCCAAGTTTATCCACTTTGTTTGCAATGCCTTCAAGTACAAGGGATATCTCTATCTTGAAAGCTGTACATCGTCAATGAACACATATGTTTATGATTGGAGTATATGAATATTTTGCGTCGGAAAAGGCTGTTACATACCCTTCCCAACAACAATTAGTTTTCGATAGTATCATTCTACCTACAAAATGCCAAATGCGAATTTATAGTTTTCATACATGCCGTTCCACCACAACGCCGAATTTCTATGTAATTCCCTCAGGGTCATAAGGATACATGCCGGGTTTGGTGCTAATAGGTCGAGCGATTCCCCAGTAATAAGCGGACACACACACCTTTGTCAAAAATGTTTTTAAATTGATTTTCATCTTTCAAGATAAGCTCAAACTGATAGCTAACGAAAGATTCCAACAAGTTATCAAAAACAGGAGTAAAACTGATAACCATACAGTTTCTTGAATTCTCTAATAAATCATATTCATATTAGAGACAAGAACTACAATGACAATCTTTCAATTGTTACAAACTTTCTTACTAGCTAGCAGCCCTGTATAAAAAGATAGAAAGAAAAAAACCCTTACCTACATATATCTATCTATCTATCTATCTATCTATATATATATATATATATATATAAAGACACGTAAATTCTCAATTTCTTTCATATCTTGACAGCAAACAGGGCCTTTACATTCTTTCATTTTTTATTTTATCCGAAACGGCATTCTTTCTAGTTTTATTTGAAAATATTTATACTGTTCTTTATCATTAAATATATTATTCAAGTTGTTGAAATAACAGTAGAAATCTTGTTACATACTTCCGCTGTACGCTTTTTCTTGCGAAACTTTATAATCATCCTTGCCGTGTGTGACATCCAGAAATGTAACAGACGAGGATTTTTATACGTTTGTAATAAACTGGTGAATATAACCAACCGTTAAGTATTAGTTATGCTGCCACCATTTTCGAGCATGCTCTATTACTGGCTTACGAGTATGATACAAGGATTTCTATAGCTTTTACAATGATAATTTCCATTACCCCGAGTCATGCAAACGCATGTCGAAATCTAGTCCTTAAATAATGGATTAAGAAGAAACAGTTTACTGACATATGAACGACAAACATATTATAGAATAGCGTTCTTATTTCTGATGCATTTTTATGGCTACGAACGAACAGATTTCTCGAATCAGTCACCTAAATCGAATATTACTTTTTAGTTTTAAACATCAACCTATTGATCAATATGTAACATAAAACTGTAATAATAATAAGGTAATGGAAACTGCTAACAAAATGGCCCTCCTAATTATTATATTGGATATCATAAGATAGACTACTTACATTACAATTAGCATATTTATCCATATATTATATAATCTGTACAGCAAGTAATTCTACACAAACATATCTTCATATTACACTGTTTTTAACTCAAATATAACTAATAATAATAGGGCATACGTAACTAGTGAATTTGCGATTGTATAAATTAAATAAGTGTGATTTATTATTGTAGTCAAAATGCCTTATTGATTCATTTTAAACCTAATTAAAGTGGTATTATAAATTAGGTATTTTCTAGACGTAATACAAATAACAATACACAGAAGTTACCAGAAATGTAAAATAAAGAAGCGCTAGACATTACAGGCAATCATGACAGATACTAAGATAAGCAAGAATTTCTTATAATAGTTATATTGCATTTACCAAATGCCCATTTTGGTTTCAGTATACAGGGAAGATGGATGCTACAACGTTATCCAAAAAACATATTAAATCTATTAAGTCAATACAGTCTTAGAAATGTACATTATTATTTTTTTATTTCAAGTCAAATTTTTAAAATAGTATCACAAACAAAACAATGCACTTACCAGCATTTTTTAAAAAGTTAAAAAAAAATTCATCGAAGCATATTACTTTTAACTTCGTATAGTTTATCTTCTATTGATAAAAATAAACCAGAGCTAAAAATGTCGTTGATTTCGAGCCATTTTTTAAAGTTTCAAAAACTAATACTATTACAATTTACACACGAAGACCTATGAAAATAAATAACTTACGAAAATCAAAAACCCGATATTCATTTATTAATTTTATAATTGTATATAAAACGCTCTCAACTTTAAACTAAAGCATTTTGAATTTTTCATTCCCAATATTCAGACATTAACAATTTAGGTTTCAATGAAAATGTATCATAAAAGTATTAAAAGTCAAAACTAAAAGTTTAGTAAATCTGCTGAAACACGTACAACTACAAGATCCTTAAGGCTTAACTTTAAAGTTGCAAGTTTAAAAGTTTGTTAGAATTAATTTCCTTATGCTAAGCTTTCTACTGCAATTTGAATCTACATTAACACTCAAAATATAATATAATGTCTCCATTTTTGCAACAGCTTTGAATGCAACCAAACAACTTTATTTGGCAAAAAACACCGCCAGAAGGATAATGCCACGCAGCCACGCCGTTGAAACATACCGTGATAAGTGACTGTGCCGGTGACCATGGCCTGAACGATGCAAGCATTGTTTGTGATTGAAAATACACTTACCGTTCTAAGGTTATACTTCTTGCATTCTTTGTTCAAGTATTAAATCCATTTGTTTGTTCCACAAAATATATTGGTAATTACAGTTTGCAGATAAATCCACTTGCATCAAAGTAAGAAACTAATAAATTAAGACCTTAAATGTTGGTAATCTTTCTTTCGTCACACCCACTTACAAACTTTACTCGCACCTGTACAGGTAGAAAGTCTACCGGTTCACCTCAGAATGCATTCGTGGATACGTTGGCGCTCGTAGCGCCACCGCTACCATACCACTCTTAAAATCATTATTAATTACTTGAAAGCATTTGTTTGCAGTTTTTAACATACATATGTTTTCGAAAGTCTAAAATTAAATACTCGTACCCCTAAAACAGCTTATGGTAAAAAGAAAAATCGCTTTTCGGTATTATACTTAGTATAAGTAGGTAACACTAAACAAACAATATTGTAAATCACTAGAGGGCCACACGTAATTTTGGTTTGATACTTTTGAAGATAGAAAGAATATATTGTTGCGTCAGCGAGATCACGTGACTAGTGTCACGCCACCTATTTTCTAGAAGTATCTTGTTCTTTCGTGAATGTCCTAGCATTTACTAGATATATGTTTGTCTGGTATATATATAAGACGCTCACAACGTGACGGGACAATGTGTGCAGGTAATGAGTAATTGAACTGCAGTCAGAGAAAGACGTATTGTTGAAGTCGAGCTCGTGAGACGTGAATTATAGTTTGTTATCGCGCAACTGTTGAAGTTGAGTGTATCAGTAAAGTTATATTCTGAAA